AGCCTAAGCGCCCTATAAGTCAAAAGCTAGCCTTACAACTAAAAGCAAGGTCGAAATCAATCCCTCTTTTTCGTGTGCTTTACTAGTAGGGCTAATCAACGACCCTTTGATCTATGTCGTTCCAAATTCAATTTCTTAAACCCTTCTAAGCACTTAGAAGAGCAAGGAATCGGACCTGCCTCAAATGGGTGAATCTGGAATTGTCACAAGGCCCTTCTTATTTTGATGGCTTGGCCTGAAAATATAACTCATTCTTCCATTGGGGACAGGTGCACGAACGACAACTCCAAACGTCATACAACCGTTGCCTACCTACTGTTTAGGTGGTACTAACGAGATCTAGCTAAGGTAAGGTGGCCCGAGATTTTCTGTTTGTTTGAAATCCATTGCATACTACTGGTCATCCTTACCCCTTCCATACGGATTTCTTGGTTTTTCAGCATTGATTTGGTTTTGCTATTGCTGCCAAAAATGAAAAGCGTGCTGCCTACTTACAAGGCAAGCAATTTAAAGATTCATCCTCAGGGTATGCTGCCCAACATTTTCCTATTGGGAGAGCAGATTTTGTTCGACTATTACCTCTATCAATTGGTAATTTCGAATCCAGCTATGCAGATTTTGTTAAATCTATCCAGAATCCAAGGTTTATTTTACAAGATCTCAAGTTTCTTGAAGTTGTGGAATCGGCCAGCATGGATATGAACTGTTCTTGAAAGACTCAAGTCTTCCATCTCCTCGAGGAAGATTTGAAATTAGTTAACAGTTAGGCACTCTATTTACTTGATCAATGAAAGTTGTAATGTTTTGATTCATGCTCCGTTCTTTGTTTTGGATCATTAGATCATTCTAACGTCTTATTTTGTATGCATGGGTATGCCTGGAGTAGTTGTACCCAAAATTTTGATCAATACAATTAATTTATCCAATAAGAAAAAAGGGTGGCGGTTCGATTTTTATCAAAACTGCGAGAATAACTGACTAAGCCTTGCCATAGGAGCATTCTTGAATCAGGACGAGCCCAAGCTTTCAGGTTGTTTAAGTAGGCTACACAACTTCTACCTTTCATGAGCTCACTTCTTCGTCATTAGCCATGATAGTATACACCGCCAACAAAGACAAGCAGTACAAGGTCTTTAAGGAAGAGCTTAGTTCCCTAGCTTCAGAAGCGGCGGCAAAGCACTTGGCTAAATCATCATC